ATGGACTGCCACTTCATGCTGTTCTCCGGCGTGACCTGGCCGAAGTTGGCCCTGATGATGGCCGCATTTTTCTCCCTCTGCAACAGGCCGCGGTCAGTGGCAGTTCCGAAGTAGACCTTGCCCCTGTTCTTGAACCGCTGGTCGATGCTGATAGAGGCCTGGCGGTCCTCCAACGCTGAGCGGGCTGCCAGTTCAGCGTTGCTGCTCTGGAACTCCGTGGGCAGAGCGGCGGCCAGCGGCACAAAGAGGAACGCGAGCTGGAACTTCATGTTGACTTATGCCTTCGAGGAGCTCTTGGTTCGGTTTGATGGAGACTGGCTAGATAGACTACGTTGGATTCACATCTGGGTCATAGGTATTTTATATTCTTCGACAACAACGGCGACGACGAGGATGACGACAACGACGAGGCCCGCCATCAAGATACGTTTCTTCGCCGCCTGCTTCATGTTGCCTCCTTGGAGTTGTATCTCCAGTAATCCAACGAGCTCTCATTGGATCGCGTATGACAGTATCTGACACGACAACGGCGGAGCCGCAAATTCCGGTGACATTCGCAACCCATAGGACGGAAAATACAGCATTTCGTTGAATATAGTTGGCGTGGCAGGATTCCTGACGTCCGCAAGACATGCGTGATGAGCGCCTTCCCCAATAGTCAACACATTTCAGCAGGTGAATGGCTGACGCTCTCGCCAAGAGACTGTCGGCACCATATATGGTTGTCACTAGGCTACTTGCAACAACGAAATGCAAGGCTGCGTGCTGCAACCGTGGATCAGGCTCATCAGTTTCCGGTAGCGAGTATATGGGATTGCGCTCATGTGAACACTTCGGCCCGTCGTGGTGTGGGCATGAGGTCGGATTTTGCAATTCGCATCAATAACACAGCCGGCTCCCATGCGACAGCTAGGACAGCCGGGTCTTGATTCGCCGGATTTGTTAAAGACGTCGTCGCCGTTCCGTGTTACACCAGCTCGTACACCACAAGGCCGGCCATGGTAAACCCCCTTCTGACTTTAACCGAGTTGGCCGGCTGGTCTCGAGAGTGGATTATACGAGTACGGCCCCCTCGTATAGCTAGCGCATCACGTTGCGGTCAACTTGAATATTTTTCCCGTCCCGGAATTTACAACCCCGGGCTAGCTTGAACAGACACTCTACCACGTAGATGCTTAATCTACCTATGGAAGAAACAAGCCTCCGTGGTTGTGGAGGGTTCAGCTGGTTGCCCGACGTCTTTGTGTTGCCTGTGCCTGCAACTAGACAAACACAATCTGACTCTTTTCTTGGTCGACAACAGTATCTGCTTTTCTAAACCAAGTAAAGCCATCATTACCCGGTCCAAGTAAGCGCTAACATCAACCAGTGACTCCGAGTTCTTAAATACATCCACTGCATAGGCTCGATGCTACATAGGCTCGATGCTAAATGCAGTTCCCGTGTACTGGTATCTATCCTCGAGTCCGGGGCGTGTTGAGAAAGATGCGATTGGCTAGATCACGTCTTCCACGAGCAACGACTATGACCCCGCTACTCACGGCAAATCAATCGCCGTGCTGAGATTTAAATAAACGACTGGCTTGTGGGAACGTTGATATTGATCGTCTTATGGAGATTGCAAAAACTTAAATTGGCGCAACACGGCAGACCCGCACCTGTTAAATGCGCAGTTTTCCTATTTTTGTCAGGGGGTGGCAGTCAGGCTCAATATTCCACGAATCGGTCGTGGGTATATGATGTTGTCAATGCAATATGCCCTCAATTCTGTTTCTCCGCTGCGTGGGTATAACAGCTGGGCACATTCTTGGCGGTCTTTCTCTCCCATGGATCGCCTTTGTTTGTTTTGATAACCAAAGTTGGTTGGTTGTCTGAGTCCTTTTTTGTTTCTTCCCACGAAACAATGGTTGTCCTTCGCAACGTCTTGGCCGCGGCCGTGGGCTTCGCGTCCTTCGTTCTCGGCCAGAACTTCAACAACCCCGTGCTCTGGGAAGACCTCGCTGACAACGAGGTCATCCGCGTCGACGATGCCTACTACTACACGGCGTCGACGATGCACTACTCGCCGGGAGCCCCCATCCTGCGCTCGTACGACCTCGTCAACTGGGAGTACCTCAGCCACGCCGTCCCGTCGCTGGACTGGGGCTCCAAGTACAGCTTGACCGGGGGCCAACAAGCCTACATCAAGGGCATCTACGCCTCCACCTTCAAGTACCGCAAGAGCAACGGTATGTGGTACTGGATCGGCTGCATCGAGTACTCTACCACGTACGTCTTCGTCGCTCCGTCGCCGACGGGCCCGTGGACCCAGAAGGCCAAGATCGCCACGTGCTATTACGATGCGGGCCTCCTCATCGACGACAACGACACCATGTACGTGGCGTACGGGAACACCCAGCTCAGCGTCGCGCAGCTCTCCAGCGACGGCCTGTCCGAGGTGCGGAAGCAGGTCGTGTTCTCGACCCCGTCCAACGTCGGGACCCTGGAGGGCAGCCGGATGTACAAGCGCAACGGTAAGTACTACATCTTCGTCACCAAGCCGGCGTCCAGCCAGTACGTCCTCCAGGCCAGCAGCCCCTGGGGACCGTACACGCTCAAGGCGCTCGCCCTGAGCGTGTCCCCGCCCGTTTCCGGGGGTGGAAACCCTCACCAGGGCAGCCTCATCGACACGCCGGACGGCAAGTGGTACTACATGGCCTTCATCGACGCCTACCCGGGCGGTCGGATCCCCGTCCTGGCCCCGGTCACTTGGGGCTCCGACGGCTTCCCGGCCGTGACCCTGTCCAACAACGCTTGGGGCGCTTCCTACCCTTACCCGTCGACGCAACGCTCCGTGCAGTCCCCGCTCGGCACCGACTCCTTCAGCGGGTCGTCCCTCGGCCCGGCCTGGGAGTGGAACCACAACCCGGACACGAGCAAGTTCAGCGTCAACAACGGGCTGACCCTGAGCACGGCCACGGTCACGAGCGATCTCTACGCCGCCCGCAACACGCTGACGAAGCGTATCCACGGCCCCGTCGGGACCGGTACCGTGGTCATCGACTTCACCAACATGGCCGATGGCGACCGCGCCGGCCTGTCGCTGCTGCGCCAGGACTCGGCATACATCGCGGTTGCGCGCTCCGGCTCGAGCTACTCCATCGTCATGTACAACGGCCTCAAGATGGTCTCGAGCACCTGGGCCACTTCGTCGACGGGAACCCAAGCCGCTAGCATGAGCGTCTCGCAGCGCCGCGTCTGGCTCCGCGCCACCGCGGACATCAAACCGGGCTCCGGGAAGAAGGGCTCCTTCTCGTACAGCCTGGACGGCAACAACTTCGTTTCTTTCGGTTCCCAGCTCACTCTGAACAACGACTGGCCCTTCTACATGGGCTACCGATACGGCATCTTCAACTTTGCGACCAAGTCGCTCGGTGGCTCCGTTAAGGTCGTGTCTTTCACGAGTGCGGCAAGCTGAATCGCTGACCGGGAACCTTCTGAGCTAGTTCCACCGAGCTGGCAGACTCGGTGCTGCCGCGTGGTGTCCGTTCACATCTGGGCGGTCCAGGCGCGTCTGAACTGTCTAGTAGCCATTCAGTTAAATTCAAAACCTACCTCGCAAGCACTTCTACCAAAACTGCCCAGCACCTGTGAGACAACTGTGATACTGCGCAAATGCTAAGCACTGCAAATTTATGGCAACCAGAACTATGCCAGTATACTGTATGAACAACTGCCCAAGAAAGATCTCAAACACTCCCAAGTGATATGAGCATGAGAACCAGTCTCTTACAGAGTGTCGATGAATGGCACGTGTGGTGTCTCTACTGGTTGGCAGCCCGTAGCTCGATGCCGTTCTGGTGCGCAGTCCTCGTCTTGGAAAACCTCCACGCCGGAACGCGCCGCTCGAACAGCTCGTCGAGTTCCTGGTAGGTCCTTCCCTTGGTCTCGGGGAAGAGGAGTGATCCGGCCCGGCTCCTTGCGCCATCTTGATACGTGACAAAAAAATCGCAGCAACCGCTGAGGAGCTTTGCAAAGAGGAACAAATAAGGTGTGTTTTGTCCGCACGAGTGGCAATGGTTTTCCTGGCCAGTTTTCCAAGGTCCCTTTCCCAGGACACGGAACTCCTCATACTCGATCCCCGGACGTATACCGCGCGCACCGATCGCGGGGAAACCGTGGGGAACCAACCCCATGGGGAACGGCTGGCGGTGCCAGCATATCCAGCGCGGCGGGCTCAACTTCATCGTCATCGAAAGAGAGCGCCTTCGGAACCCACTAAGCATACTGTTATTGATGCCAAACTACCGGGATCGTCTCCTGAGTCCCACACGACATCACCGGGTGATCTTCGGCCGGGCCTGCCATCGTACGGGTCATGTTCTGCGCTGGTCGAACTCCTTCGGGATTTCGGCTCTTTCGACGATCCAACTACTCGACGAAGTGACTTGGTTGGGCTGTCGGGACCAGCTCGATACGACCCTGCTACCCCGAATTTCCCAGTTCATCAATCAGGAAGCTCGACAAGCCCGAGAATCAGCCATTGTTTAGCCAGCTCTTCATCCGCGAAGCCGACCCCCCGGGAGCCTGTTCTGGCACCCGGGGGAACGCCTCGGCAGTTCTCAGCGTACAATACCCGCGGGCGATGTGGTCGAGGCCCCTTACACCCTAGTCGGAAGACCGCTCACATGGTCTCGCGATGCCGAATAATGCTGCGTTACCCTCGCCCCTCACGATGATGCAATGGAGGCTTTAGTCGCCTTGTTCTGCTCTTCCGTGCGGAGAAACGCCGGGTAGGACTGGGCCACATCGTGTACGGATCCTAAAGTTCTCTCCGTCTACAAGGAGGAGAGGGGTGACTTACGCCCACCCCATCGGCCATCGTCGACTTTCGTGTGATTCACTCTGTCGTGAGAGACACACCCCTCATTCCTATATTGTGATAGCCCATCTCCGCGGCCTTCATGCCCACGTGCTCTTTCTGACAAAAAGAAGAAGGCGAAAAAAAAAAAAAAAAAAGAATGCTCAAGCCGCAAGCAAACGCCCACCGGGAGCTCGTCTCCCTGGACGGGACCTGGAATTTCGCGCTGGCCACGTCAGCCGAGCCCGACGACGAAGCGGCGTGGAAGACCAGGATCCCGCCCGCGCTGCAGGCGCCCGTCCCCGCCAGCTACAACGACGTCTTCCTCGACCCCCGCGTCCGCGACCACGTCGGGTGGGTGTACTATCAGCGGCACGCGACCGTCCCGCGGGCCTGGGCCGGGCGCCGCTACGCCCTCCGCCTCGACGCCGCCACCCACCACGGCCGCGTGTACGTCGACGACCGGCTCGTCGCCGAGCACGTCGGCGGCTACACGCCCTTCGAGGCGGACGTCACCGACGTCGTCGCCCCCGGCCGCAGGTTCCGCCTGACCGTCGCCGTCGGCAACGAGCTGGACTGGCACACCGTCCCGCCCGGGAGGGTCGAGACGACCGCCGCGGGGAGGCGGAAGCAGCACTACCAGCACGACTTCTTCAACTACGCCGGCCTCGCCCGCTCGGTCTGGCTGTACTGCGTCCCCGCGGAGCACGTCGACGACCTCACGGTGGCCACAGACGTCGCCGACGACGGCGCCTCGGGCTCCGTGCACTTCGAGGTCGGGACGAACCGGCCGACGGAGGATTCCAGAGTGCAGGTCTCGCTCCTCGACGAGGACGAGAACGTCGTCGGCCGCGCGCGGGGCCGACGGGGCCGGTTGGACGTCGGATCGGTCCGCCTCTGGCAGCCCGGGGCGGCCTACCTCTACCAGCTGCGGGTCGAGCTCCTCGACGGCCAGGGCGCCGTCGCCGACTCGTACGAGCTGCCCGTCGGCGTCAGGACCGTCCGGGTGGAGGGGAACCGGGTCCTGATCAACGGCAGGCCCTTCTACTTCACCGGGTTCGGGAAGCACGAGGACACGGCCGTCCGGGGCAAGGGCCACGACGCGGCCTACATGATCCACGACTTTGAGCTGATGAAGTGGGCCGGCGCCAACTCCTTCCGCACGGCGCACTACCCGTACGCCGAGGAGGTCCTCGAGTATGCCGACCGCCACGGCGTCGTCGTCATCAACGAGACCGCCGCCGTCGGCCTGAACTTGTCCATCGTCGCCGGGCTGCACGGCGGCAAGAGGACGCCCACCTTCTCGCCCGACACGATCAGCGACGAGACGCGGGCGAACCACGGCAAGGCCATCCGCGAGCTCGTCGCCCGGGACAAGAACCACCCGTCCGTCGTCATGTGGGCCATCGCCAACGAGCCGGCCGCGAGCGAGCCGGGCGCGCGCGAGTACTTTGAGCCCCTGGTGGCCCTCGCCCGGCGGCTGGACCCCACGCGGCCCCTGTGCTACGCCAACGAGTACCAGGCGAGCGTCGACCGGTGCCTCATCTCGGACCTGTTCGACGTCCTGTGCCTGAACCGCTACTACGGCTGGTACCTCCACACGGGGGACCTCGAGGCCGCCGAGGAGGCCCTCGAGGCGGAGCTCCGGGGCTGGGCGGCCAAGTTCGACAAGCCCATCATCGTGTCCGAGTACGGCGCCGACACGCTCGCGGGCCTGCACACGGTCGGCGACGTCCCTTGGAGCGAGGAATACCAGAGCAGGGTGCTGGAGATGAGCCACAGGGTCTTTGACCGCGTGGACAGCGTCGTCGGCGAGCACGTCTGGAACTTTGCCGACTTCCAGACACCCTCCAGCTTCATCTTTCGGGTGGACGGCAACAAGAAGGGCGTCTTCACCAGAGACCGGAGGCCCAAGCTGGCGGCACATACTCTAAGGAAGAGATGGACAGAACAGAAGCCCAAAGAGCTTACCCCATAAGGCTTGTTTTTAGCACGGGCTCGACTGCTGTATGGTTTATACGCATGAACAGCCAAGCTGGAGCGGGGGCTGTCCTGTTCAGTGGAGGAAACAGACATGCCACCTCAGGCTAACGAGACGACTTTGATATATCTGTCTTGGTTCGATAATAAACATACACATAGTTGGTACATCACATGCTCTAAGCTGGATCGAAAAATTGTTATGCTGTATTCAAAATGACTCGGAGACTATGGTATCATCGTGGTTCTGGGAACGCCACTCTCCAAGATGCCGTTATGCCAGTCGAACGTAAGGCTGTGTGTGTCATCGACGAACTCCCGTATCGCGTGGAATAGCTGTCCGTGACCGGATTCTTCAACACCATTTTTCATCATCAGATACCACGTGTCCAATCCGCCTTTTTTACCTCGTGAAAGGGATTAATGACTTGAATTAGCCGACTTGGTTGCGTACGAGTACAGTTCCGACAACACCTATACCGCCCCCACCCAACTAACTGTCCTAATTACTGCATTGCGCTATTTCTTCGCTTCAAATTCCCAAATTGCTGAGGAAGAAAAAAACTGAAAAAAACTCGTTGCACGACTCTCTGATGCCTGTCTATAGTAGTGCAAAAGGGTTCATGCTTTTGCCATGCGCGTATGTGGGTTGAGGTCAAAAGAAATCAACCAGCGCTCAGGACCTCCTTAAGGAATGTCACTTAGAGAGCGTCACTCATGCTCGTGCCGGCCTTGGCTTTCTCCTCGGCGTGGTGCTTGGTCTTCTCCTGCATCGTCTTGGGGTCGGAAGTCTCGTCGCGGTCCGCCTTGAGGGCCTCCTCGCTGTCCGAGGCGAGCTCCGGCTTCCAGTGGCCCTTGCCCTGCTTCTGCTTGGAGAGGGAGTCCTGCTTGTGCTTCTCGTACGCTTCGGTGTCGTCGTCTGTGGTAGTGTCAGTTAATTGCTGCGTGTCCAAGTCTGCGTACAGTCTGCCCGGTGGTACTGGGCCTCCAAGCCACCCCCGTTTCCAACTCTTGAGGAGATGGGCAACGAGGCATGGGATCAAGCGAATGATCTTACAACCGGCCGGGCCACAGAGATACTTCATGACAAAGTTTGAAACGTTACGCCAAACCCATTCCATCGGCAGGTAGCTGGCCAGTTACCCGCCCAATGACCAGAAGCGACATAAATAAAGAGATGGGAGGGCGAATGGACTCACGTGCTGTAGACTCCTTCAAGCCGACCTTGGCCGTCGTCGAGATTCTGGAGCCGCGCTCGAGGACAGCAGTCTGTCTGCCGATGACGAAGGCGCCACGGGCAATGGGGGTAGACGCGAGAACGATGCGGGAAGCCATGGTTTCTGGTGTTGCTGTGCTGCGGTGCCGAAACTTGAGCAATTGAAAGGGGTTTCTTGGGTATTATAATGTCGATATAACAAAAAGCCAAGAGCGAGGTATTAAAGAATGAGAGAAAAAAAAAAAAGAGAGATGTGGACGATGCTGGGCGAGGTAGGTAAGGCCATCGGCTACCAGTAGCTCGACATCTTACCTAGGTAAACCGAGCTTTCGAGTGTCTCGTTACCCGGCCGTGACGTCACTAGATCGTTGCTATGTCCCGAATAGTGACATCCACAGGACCGAGCTTCCCTCCTTCCCTCCCCCACCAGCTGGTTGCAGTTCCCTCAGCAAACCAAACTCGGGCGGCCCCGCAAAATGCCATTATTATTATTTTTGCTTGTGACCACTGGCCAGAAGCCCGCTTTCCTCTCGTCATCGCATTCCGGAAGGTGAAGGAAGCAACGTGCAGCAGCAGAAGGGGGGACGGCAACCAGAGGGCAACCAGCTGCGGCCGGCTTCACGCAGCTGGCCAGTCATCATATCATCAAAGAAATCCATCTCAGCTGGGGCCCCAACCTTATCGTCGTCATTCATCCCCGCACCTGTCCGTTCTGGCCTATAGTGAGTATTCTTCGCCCCTCGCCCCCCCAGTCAACTCATCACGTGATTTACATCTCGTTCTAGGCCCCCCTCTCGTCTGGTCTGGGACCTGCAGCACTTCGTGCCCTGTGTGCATCGCCAGCCGCCGCCGCCTTCCTCACCATCTCGCGCCGCCGTGCCTCCTTGCGGCAGCGTGCAGCAAGAACAGGTAAGGTCGGCTTGGACGCAGCCTAGTGGTGCCAGTCTAGCCCCAATCGTGTGTCGCCAACAAGAGGGCCAAAAAAAAAAAAGGGTGCCTTCTGCTCCTTGTCTAATGCTGGCGGCTACAGACACGCAGTTAAGACAGACCCTACTCCCCATGCGCTTTCGCTCGCGTCGCGGGCTATAATTACCTATAACTACTCTGCCGGTACCTTGGGGATTGGCTTGTTGCTCTTTGTCGACGACGACGACGACAACGGCGGCGGCGGCAACCTGTCTGCTTTTCTTGCTTGCTTGCCTTCCTGTCATCTAGTAGTACGTCAGGTTGCTTGCTACCCCTCATTTCGCCCCAGCCGCAACTCAGCCCAGGCCGCTCGAACAAGGGGAGGAGGGGAGGAGAGGGGGAGGAGGGGAGGAGAGGGGGAGGAGGGGAGGAGAGGGGGAGGGCCGGGGTCTTACAGTCGCGGGCGAGGCTCAGCATCAGCCCGCCCGTCCTTACCCATTTCAATAGTAGACGCCTCTTATGTACAGATATCCTGCACGGCATTATTAGCAGAGTCGCTTATTAGGGGCGGAGCGGAGCAGAGAGAAAGCAGGAACGGTAGCTAGCTAACTGGGCGGCAAGCGTCAAAGGCACACCCCCGCGGGATCCTGTCATCGCTTTGTCCTGGAACACAATATCTCCTCTTCCGACTGGGCCGGCTCGATATCGTGACTCGTAAAATCCGTCAGGAAGCCGGCGACGATCAAGGCACAAGCTCATCCGACCGCGCGCGAGATGCTGTTCCGTGCCACCCCTTGGGCACCCACGGCATGGCGAAAGTGCATCACTTGACACGAGAGGGTAAAAGACCGATTTTGAGATGAACGTATCGTATATTGCATTGCGCCTTGCTGGCTTCGCGCCACAAGATCGGACAAGTCTAGTCCGACCCTCTTGAACACCTTTCCACGTCTTGAGCATTTCCTTTCCTGAACAGCCCCCCCAATGGTATCCCCGTTCACCAGATCCAGAAAACCACACGAGAAGCCGATAGATCGTGTCATCCCGCTTCCCAGCAAAAACACAACTATCCCGAAGTGCTCGCGAAAAAGTGCTCCAGACGAGGGTGAATCCACACCACCACCATTCGTTTCCCAGTGTGCCGAGATGCAAAAGAAGCTCTGTGCTTCCCCCGGGAGAGCAATAGGAACAGTCCATCTTCGAATAATGAAATAAGAGAAGATGCCACAATAAATCCAAGAAACAAAAACACTGCTGCGCGCGTGTTCCCGTCCGCATCGCTCAAGCCCAATAATACAGGCAACAAAACAATGCAGAGGCTCGCCAGCTGCCCGCACCCAAAATCATGACCAACTCCACCTTTCCAAAAAGGTATTTCCCGGACCCTGTTTCCAAGCTTTGGAGATTTGCCGCAAAACAATAGCAACGCATGTCTTTGCCCGCCACCGCCCGTTTGATATTTCCCATGTGAGCCCATAACAGAAACACCTGTTGCCCCGCGCCTCCTTACTGCTCCGAATAAGTTGCTGAAAAGACACTCATTCTATATGTCGAGATGATCTTTTTCGATGACTTCATGACCCGTCGAGCACCATGATGAATAACTGAAATTTTCAATCATCCTGGAAATTCAAAAACTCGTCCCGCTGTCCGTGAAAAATAAGATGCCGCGAATTAATTATATCCGTGAACTCCGCCGTGGTGTTGACACACCGATGCAATGTCGTCAAAATGCAAAACCGTCCGTGTGGAACGCCATTCGTGCAAGCCCAGCCTCATCTTGCGAGGACAGGACACCGAAAGATTTTTGTCGATTTTTTTTCATTGTCGAAATATCCCAAGAAGGAAAAAATGGTATCGATAACTTCTCGCATCGCGCCAGGGAAGAGGCCTCGGAGAGGACTTTTTTCGTCGGTTTGAAACAAGGGTATGTCGCGTGAGGTTGTTTGTACAAGAGAGGAATGTTGTTTTCGAGCCAACGTTGTGACCAGACCACGCCAGCGGCCTCGCCAAAGCCTTCAGGTACCCGGCCCGCAAGAGAGAAAAATCATCGATGCCATTCAAGTTTCTTTTGTTCGGTGCCCGCCAAGATGATCGGCTAGAAAGGCCGAATGAGCAGGATTTTGCACATCAGCATGCATCAACACAGACGGCAGGGAGCACAAAGCCCCGGCCCTCTGTCGCGAGAGCGGAACTAGCGCTTTACCATCTGCGGATGCTCTGCTGCATCCTGGAGGGGGACACCGAAGGCGGAGGGCTCGACATGGTGATGCCGGTAGCCGGGTTGACAATGGGAATGGCATTGCGCGCGCGGGTGGCGGAAGGCTGGTGAAGCTTCATGGCGGACTGCTGGTAGGCAGGAGGGATGAAGGCTGGGGACGAGGAGTTGAGAGAGAAACCGGGGGCGATGGTCTGGGGTTGCTGGGTCGGCGAGGACTCAGGCGAGTTGCTGGCCAAGGAGGAGCGCTCAGAAGAGCTGTGGATGGAGTTCATCTGCAGCGGGCGTCCAGGATTAGTCACCAGATGATTATAGGTAGATCCAAGGCTCCTGGATACTCACGTCGCTATCGGTCAACAGGCCGGGGCAGAATTCCATGTCGTCCTCGAGGTCGAAGGAGCGGCCAGCCTCGAACTTTGTGCGGAAGGCGTTGATGGTGGCTGACTCGGTCAACTCCTTCATGCTGCGCACACCGCGGAACTGCTTATGCTGGTTCTGGGAGACGGAGAGTCTGGGAGCCCTGCGATTCCGGCCGCCATGGTGGTTGTGGGAGGCTCCGGGAACGGCCGGGGTGGGATGCGCCTGGTGGTGGTTGAACTGGTAGTATGAAGACATTGTTTACGAAAATGCAGGGTAAATATATCCGTGTCGTGGTGATGTCGTTGTTGGAGGATGAATGTATGTTGGTTTTGTTGGTTGGGGAGGCAGTTTGGCGGAGGTGCGGTAGTTTTGTGTTTGTTGTGGGCGAGCCGAGGTGCGGTATTATTGCAGTATGGGACACAAACAATGAGACCTGCCGAGTCGACGACGTTGTGCGAGGAGAAACAAGTGTATACACGTTATGATAATTCAAGGTAGAAAGGTCATACAGAGGGAGTCGTGCTTTTTTTCTTCTTTTGGATTGATGTAGCGTATGATCGGGTTTTGGAGCGCTTTTTTGGTGGGTGGTTAACAAAATAAAAAAGGTACGTCTGGACGGAGAGGGGAAGAGATGTTGTAAAGTATCGGGAGGGAGGAATCCGGAGAAAGCAATGGTTTTGTTGGTTCGAGCAGGACAGTGAGAGTGTGGGAGAGTGGAAGGAACGGTGGAAAGGTGAGTGGATAGCAGCGAGGAGGGCACGGAGGGCAAGGAAGGCGAAGGGCAGGGAGGGGGGGCGGCGGCGGCGATGGACCCACAGTTGCCCAATGAAAGAGGATCGGAGGGGACAGTGCATCGTCTAACGACACTGTGACTCCACCTCTTGACGCCATGTGCGAGTTCGCCACTGAGACCCCATTGGCTGGCAGATCTTAACCTAGAGCCGCCCAGGTCTAGCGCCGTCTGGTGGTACTGATGCAAATTTGGGGCGTGGCGCCGGCTGGCGTCAACCACCACCCACCCCCCCTTCAGTGCGGCGGACAGTACAATGTACGGATGGCACGGGTGGAGAGCTCGCGAGGGCTGACCGACCGTATTTGGATGAGAGACACTACAAGCATCTGGGCGAGAGTGAGAGGAAAGGCCGGGGTTGTGCTGAGTAGGTGCCGGTGGATGACCAGCTAAGAAATTACGATACCTAGGCAGGTGAGGTAGTCGGAAGTGCACTACACTGCACTGTAGCCGCGGGAGGAGGATATGGGAATCGATGCATTGCGTGTTCCTGGTCAGCCTGGGTATCCCTGGCACGGACAGTCAGAGGGGAGAGTGAGAGAGAGACGCACACATCTGTACAGGCTGACTGACTGACTGACTGACAGACAAGCAAGCAACTGCAGTGTACCTGGCAGAGTGCAGAAAACCTACTCAGTAACCCTGGCCCTCCACTTTCATTCTCACTCTCGCTCTCTTACTCACTCACTCACTCACCCACTCACTCACTCATTCACGCTCTCCCTCCCTCACTCTCTTACCCCCTCACCCGGCCTGGGCATAGGCAGGCAGGCATCTCGGGTCGGAACCTCGACGCAGGGCCAGTTGATGCGTGGCATGCAGGTACTGCGTCTGCCCGCCGCAGAGACGCACTGTAAGGCCCCCTTCCCTGTTCTTCACCGTGTCTGCAGCTGTAGTGTGCGTTGTACCTGTAGGCGTTCTCAGTGTCGGGGCGGGGACCCGAGGAAAAGCCTCCTGACTCCTGAGATGGGCGAGGTTACCGCCACTTGTCGCTCGTCCTTGTTTACAACAATTTTGGCACCACCGCTTGCGGCCATGGAGAGAAATTGGCCGCCCACACCTCTCATTCCAGAACCCCAGTGTCGAGCGTGCGCGATGGGGAATTCAATCAGCAGCAATGCTCAATAATGCTGCGCTACTTGTAGGGGGGAGCAACTGAGCGAGATTAGAGGCGAGACACAATACGGGCTGGGGCTGTTGCTCCCTTTCCATTTTACGGCGTCTGCTGCCTGTGGCCCATCGGCCGCTGTGCTGTCTCTCCCCAGTTGTTGACTGTCACAATGTGTGTGTGTGTATCCGTACATGGTACTTCGTATACGTGGTGTGGGGACTGGATATCCTCACTGTAGCACCCCCGTCCCTGTCAACCCATGCCATGCCAAGCCTGTCCACGTACACATCCCATGCTCCTCTCATCCCACTCTTCCTCTCCTTCGGCATCGAGATGTCTCTCCTGATCTGCCATCAAGTGACCTGCCTGCCTGCGCGCTGCGCTGCGCCGCGCCTGTCGCTCTCGGTCCTGGCCGTGGTGCAACTAATGGCGTATCTTGCTTCTCGTCCCATCTTCGCTGATCCGCTTAGGCGTATCCGTACCTTTCTTCGTCTTTTCCTTCTGCTGCTGCTGCTTTTTCTCCTTCTCCTTCTCTTTTTCACTATCCCTTGCGTCCTTGTGGGGGAGGGGCGGTCTCGATCTCGTCGGAGCTGGCTGCTCCTCAGAACAGGGCAAACTTGTCGGCATGCTTTTCAGGCTGACGCAACGCATTCAGTTCAGGATGCTGCGCACAATCGCATCAGGGTTTCCATCGCGGGCTCTAATCCGCAATGTCCTGTCCCGTCCCGTCCCCAGGAAGCCCGAATTGCGACCACAGTGGCATTAAACTGGCGCAATCCGATCTTCAGAAACACGAGAGACGCAGCCTAGTGTTTCCCATTCCGTGCTTGGTTGGAAGTCTTTCCCTCTCACACTCGGCTGGCTTCATGTTGTCCCGCTCGCTCACAGTGTGCCGCTGTCTGCTCCAGTCCCAAGTGAAACCCCTTCTGACCTCGCCTGGGTGGCTCCCATGCACCCCTGTCCGCCCCGAATCCCAACCTTTGGGGAACAACAACAACAACAACAACAACAACAATGGAACGGACTGCTGATGCACCCGCACGATTGGGCGGTGGGCGGACTGGGCTGGATCGGCTAACCACCGTACTTATTGACAAGGTAGTAGTGGTGTGTATACGGATGGATACACAGCAGAGAACGAATGGCCCGCAACTGGAACAGTGCAACGGACCACCCGGCCGCTTACCTTCAACTCGACCTCGCACATCCCACCTCGTCCATCTGCACGGCGGCAGCGAGACATGACGAAGAAGACGAAGGAGTAGGACCAAGAAGTGTGGGTAGGAAGTAGACTTGCCCACATAGCGTGGGATTGCCAGCCACAATCTAGTTTAAACGCTGCCGCAGAGGCTAGACATCCGCACTGTCACGGATGGGCTTCGCTATCCACACTGTCCACATTGTTCACATTGTGATGTGACAGAGACACCGGGTACGTACACATATATCTACCATGTCCACTATAGGTATTTGCCTGGGTATCTACCTAGCGTAAGTGTGTGTGCTTCTACACTCTACACAACACACTGATGCAGGTGGTTAGAGCCCCCCCTGGGCTGCATAGCGAACAACGAGGCAGTGACCTGCCTGCCCCCTTCCAATTTGGCCAAACACACACGCGCATCCAAGCACTGGGTGGGGTCGAGTTCCCGCCGCGACTGGCTGCTAAGATCCTGGTTCTGGTCCCAAAAGGAAAAACGAAACCCATGAGGAAATGACCTGGGCCCTTGCCCTGTGGCCTGGATTCGGAAACGTGGCGGCTGGCACGCTTGATCTATCTACTCTGTAGTGTGCAAGCGAATCAATCGACAAGACCCTTCCCAGGGGCGGGGGAGGGGGATGACCCATCTTTTCTGTGGGCCTTATGACTTAGGCACCAACTGCATCACAGTGTGTGTCGCCTTGCCACCTGCAGACCGCCCTGACGAGACTGAGCAAAAAGCCCCTCATCCACACAGGGTATCGGTACGTACCTACTCCACGTACCTTGCTGGGCTCACTCACCCACAGTCTCACTCGTCAACTTTTCTATCCTGCGCACTAACAGCGGGGCAACCACAGATAATGTCACCCTGCCTTGCCAATCCGTCACTGGGCGCGTCGCCCCCCCACCCCGGGCTCACTCACATCACTCACTCACTCACCCTCGGTTTCTTACACAACCTGCTCTCTCTTTCTCATCGCTCACGCAGATCTATCTCATTGAAGGAAGGTTTCTCGCCCCCTCCCCCTCCTCTCCCCTGCCCCAGCATCATCCGTCAGTGGCCAACTGATGAACATAGCATGATGATGCAGCCACCCACAGGGCTGCTTAATCGGCTTATCCTCTCCTCTTGCAAATCCCTCCTTGATTCTCGGCATTGTCGTCCGGCGCATCATCCATGCTAAGCAGGTTGACGGCCGCTGCTGTCCGATTACCGAGCACGGCGGGCAGGCTTGACAGGAGTTGGCTCCAAACCTCGACGTATCCTCCATCCGCATCCTAACTCTATCGCCCCTTGGCCGTCAGCTTTCCCGCCCTTCTAGACTAAAATCTTGTTCTGCCCGTGGACCTTCCACCGTGCATGCATGAATAGCGAACGGGCCCCCTGCGTTACCACACACACTCTCTCACACACACACTACGTAAAGTGCGATGTGCAGACAGACCAGCAGCCACCTGGAGCAGACCCTTGGGGGTCCTGTCCTATCCCGCCGTTCACTGTGGCACAGTACAGGCTCCCTGCCCACCCGGTCGATGACTGCGAAAGCCGGGCTGGGACTGGGGACTTGGGACTGGGACTGGTGAACCCGACCCGAGCCTGGTGAGCCCGGCTACCCCCTGCTGCGGAGGCGAGGCAATCTTGCCCCGGTGAATCGGGCATAGCACTGCTAGGGGGCATGGAAGACGGGAAACCATCCTGAGACACATGACAATGGCTTCGTGATCTCTCCCCGGTGGAGCTGGTAGCTGGTGCTGGAACTGGGGCTGGAGCTGGAGCTGAAAGGGAATCCGACTGACGAAATGGGAGGGGGCGCATATCGCATTCCCCCGTCGCCATTGTCACCCCACGTCCAGTCCGTCGCCTCGTCAGTTTCACCCAATCCCCCTCCCCCTGTTCGTTGCCTTGCCCTCCTTCGACCAACATTACATTCTTTCCTTCGACGACGGATGATATCGGGTCTGTTTGCTCGTCGTTTTCCGTCCCATCTGTCTGAATGGCTCTCGGTTCCAGCGCCCGGGACGAGACGGGAGGGAGGGCGGCAGCTGCTATTTTTGCTGGCCCAGCCCGACGTTCCCCATGGCTAACTCGGTGCTTGCATCTGTATGCAGACCTCACCACCAGCAAGACGACGGTCCTGGTCTCAGGGTCGCTAGCTTCACCGGTGCCTGGGTACCATGTCGAGGGTCCCTTCCGGAGGGACATGCTTTCCCCCATCGAGGCAGGATTGACACTCTTGCACCAAGTTATGGTTCTTGCAAAGCAAGATACGTAGCCCGATGCCTGCAAGCAGGACGGGCGGGCAAGCCAACATCTGCCAAGGGTCTGGGTCTGGACGCTGGCTGAGGGAGAGGTAGGTGTGGGGGGCGGCCATTGAGTTAGGCGTTGGCAAACATGGCATCGTGGTTCTTATCGCGGCATCCAATCCGCTCTCGGGGCCCTACACCTAGACAAAGGTCGAAGCTCTCTTCGGGGAGGGCTTGGGGGGAGGGGAAGAAGCTTTCGATGGCCAGTTGGGCAACCTTCTTTTGTTTCCAGCCCCGAACCAGCCATTCTTACTGTACGTGTACGGTACATAGCCCCCGTGGACCGTGCCATCGTTCTATCGGCAACGAACCTTCCTTTCCTCCCTCACCTCTTCCACAGTACGGACGCCTGCGTGAAACCGCTTGCATGCTGTGTACCGTGTACCGGTGGCAGGTGCTTGTCTGTGGGTGGTGACATACCTACACGCAAAGTAGCATGCGCTTTTGCTGTCGCTCCCCTGGGACGACACAGCCGGACGAGACGGGGCTCATCCCGCAAGATCTGACGGACGGATCGTCCCTCCTTGCTGAACGGCAACTACACTCTTCTAGCACCATGGTAAACTAGGACTCTGACTGCCTATTTGCCATACACCAGGACGAAAGGTCACATGCACAGCGGCGGTGGACAAACCAGGTTGAGGGGGGGAGGGGGCATGAAAAGCCCCCCTTCTTTACTGCCACACCGCCATTCTGGCATCGAGGGCTGGGCTACCAGAGTAATAAACCAATTACAACTTTTTGCTTGTGCCAGCCTCGATTCCGAGGATTATGCATCGCCTGTTACGGCCAATAGTGGTTTATTCTTCCTCGCTGTCACAGCAGCAGCAGCAGCACCGCCCTCCGCCTCCCTCCATCCCTCCCTGTCTCTCTGTGTGTCTATCTGTCTATCTGTCTATCTCCTCCCCGCGGAATTTTGTGGCTACCGTCATTCGGTGGGGAAAGATTCCCTCTCCTCCTCCTCCTCCCCCTCCCCTCCCTCTCCCTCTCCCTCTCCCTCCCTCTCCCTGTCTCCTTCAGGGTCCTGGGCTTTCGAGTTGGAAAGTTGCGGAAGAGGGGAGTAAAAAGACGAGACAATAGAAAAGACATCAGGCACGGAGCTAGTATAGCGGGAGCTTGGACTGGCAGGCTGGGTTGCCGAGTCACCTGGGCTCACCGCAGAGAGCTGCCGCTATATAATAGTATGTAGTGTGGTGTGGTGCAATGGCGCCGCCGCCCATTGCAAAAGCAAAGAGCTGCAGCAGTGCATTGCAATGCCGCCTGGTATCGGGGGAGACGCCACTGTCGGCGCTGTCTAGCCAAGCAACACGGACCGGCCAGAACATCACTCACGGCTAGTCGACGAGTAGAGAGACACCATGTGCATACCTAGCCGGCGTGCATTAGGGGGGGCACATGCCGGCAGTAAAACCTACGCTATTCTTGATACACTAAAGACTAGGCTTGTGGTGGAGGGGCCAACCTGTCAAACGGCACAATACTGCGCTCGGCGATCTGCCTGTGGCCCTTGAGTGCTTCCACTCCCGAAGCAACGCCGGTGCGGCGCAGTGCAGGTAGGCAGTCGGCGGCGGTGTCTTTTTTATTCGTCTCTGATTCGTAACAGTGGCGTAGATATCCGAGAGGGGGCGGCGGTTCGACAGACATTCGCAAAATGTAGAAAACTTCCTCGTCCCACCCGCGCCGTGTCATGTCACCGCTTCCAGGGTTATGTAGGCAGCTGATCAAGGGGAGTCCCCTTCCCGGCCCGAGTCTTGAGTGAGTGGCATTGCTCGATTTCCCCAAACAGAAGCAGTGGGAGACCCTGCGCAGATCCAAGCATGCGCAGGGTAGGAGGCGGGAGAAAGGGTAGAGACGGAGACAGAGAGAGGACATCCGCCGGCCACTTCTGCGACGTTACGACATGCAAGTCCTTGGCCATTTCAACAAACCGGGCCTCGGAGTTGGACTAACCGGACGGACTCGGAGGGGCACGGGACGCATTGCGGCGACCCCGATATCTGCGAACCCTGCTTATACTCGTATGTGGAAACTACTATCTGATAGTACATCGTTACGTACGCCAGATTCCGCGATAACCCTCCGTCTCTGAAAGAACGCATGATTTCCCACGGCTTCAATAATATCGAGTGTCTGCTAGGCGAGGCCTGAAGCAGCTGGCACCGCCTCGATCCGGTCCTCTCTAGCGTAAGGTGACTAGTCAGCCCGGCTCGACTCAAGAACGGTCTCTCTATTCATTCTGACTCCCTGTACTGCTATTGTTGATCCGCGACCCCTCCCCTCCCCCATGTTTTCCCGACCTCCGTGCAATGGTGACCGGGGGCCTCCGTCCCACGCCTCCCGGCGGCCCAAGTCCCGCGCACTCGCCCCGTCGTCGTCCCAAACCCGTGGGGATGCCATTAGCCAGCACGTCATGTGAAGACCTCCGTGCCCTCTCACAACCACAACCCTTGCACCGGTGTCCCGTCGTACCAGTAGTCGAAGCCTCGCTTTTTGCCACATCGCACGTAACACAGGGTTGCTCTAGCCCCGTGCGGTTCATAAGGAGGAAAGAAAGAAAGAAAGAAAAAGAAAGAAAAAAGGAGGGAAGAGAGAAATGAGAGACAGGGTACTGGAATCCCAGCACCTCGGCCTTGGCTTAGCCGCGGCGGCTGCGGCGGCTGCGGCGGCGACGACGACCTACCTCCTCCTCACTTCCTTCCAAGCGACGCCGACGACGACGACCCCGCGCCCGGCCCTCGACCCCCGCAAGACGGCCCGGTCTCCGAAATGGACCGTCTTGCCCGCCCTCTCCGCCTCCGCCTCCGTCTCCGCCCGCGACGCCCAGCCGTACCCGCCCGACGCCCTCCCTGGCGGCCAGGACGTTGCCACCGCCTACGGGAACCTGCGTGTCTACGAGTTCGGGCCCGAGGACGCGTCTGAGAGAGTCCTGCTGCTGCACGGCATTGGCACGCCGTGCCTCGCTCTGGGAGGCGTCGCGACCGAGTTTGTGGCGAAGGGTTGGCGGGTCATGACGTTTGGTGAGTCTTGTTGCCGATGTTTCACTCCTTTTCTTCTTTTCTTCTTGTTTGCTTCAGTATCTGTTCGGGTTGGTACATGGGGTGTGGTAAGGTGTGATGTGTGAAGAGGAAAGAGTTGACTTTGCAGCCTGGCTAATGAAGGTTGCCTTTTCAACCCCTCCTTTATTCATGTTGGTTGAGTCTCATGTCTCACTTTCACCCACCCCTCATCGCTCCTTCCTCGACCCCCTTTCATGTCACATTCGACGGCCCCCAGTCTAACAGTCAGCAGACTTCTTCGGCCGCGGCTACTCGGACGCGCCGCTCGACGTCCCCCACGACGCCCGTCTTTACACCACCCAGGTCCTTCTTGCCCTCGCCTCCTCGCCTCTCCCGGGCTGGGCCGGCAACGATGCCTTCCACCTGCTGGGCTACTCCCTCGGCGGCGCCGTCGCCGCCGCCTTCGCCTCCTCGCACCCGCACCTCGTCCGCTCCCTCACCCTTGTCGCTCCTGGCGGCCTCATCCGGTCCGCCGCCCACGTCAGCTGGAGGAGCCGCCTGCTGTACAACTCGGAGTGGATCCCCGAGGGCGTGCGGCGGTGGTTCGTCGCGCGGAGGATCGCGCCGGCCGACCCCAAGAGCGGGGGGGACGCCCCAGAGAAGGAGACCGTCGACGACGACGAGGGCGGGACGGCGGAGTGGGACGAGCTGAGGCTCGTGGGCGGGAGCCGGATCGGTGAGGTCGTGAAGTGGCAGATGGAGACCCACCCGGGCTACGTGAGGAGCTACATGAGCACGATCCGGCACGCGCCCATCTACGACCGCGGGGGCGAGGAGTGGAGGGTCCTCGGAGAGGCGCTCTCGGCGAGGAGGGCGGGCGCGGCACCCGGGCTGAGGAAGGGGCGGGTGTTGTTTGTGCTAGGAGAGAGGGACGATATCGTGGTCCCGGGGGAGACGGTGTGGGACGCGGAGACCGTGCTCGGGGAGGACGCCGTCGAGGTCGTGGTGCTGAAGGGCGGGCATGAGGTCGCCATCACGAAGGGGAGTGAGGTTGTCGGGGCTGTCGTCGCTGCATGGGAGAATAACCGCTGAATATCATAACAGTTAGATGGGTTGTTGTAGATTGCATGTTTGATCTAGATCTAGATATCCAAGCGCTTAGAGACCATATAGATTTCGGCTGCATCTTACCGCTGCGGACATATTTGCCTCGCCCTTTCAATCTCTCCGTCTTTTCATCCCAATCCAACATGTGCCCGGCCCAGGGCTGGCCAACGAGGGCCGACCTCATACAGCCTCAATAATCAGCCAGCCCACGAACCCATTGTGTACGGTCCATAAACATGAAAGGATGTCCCCCAAAAATTCCGCGCGTTATCTCAAATCAGACATTACTTCAGATCGGCTGGCCCGATACGGCGTGAATGGGGAGTGGTGGGGATGGCTCTGATACATGACTTAATGATGCATTCAATCCTTCGGAGGCGGCTTCCCCAGAAGAGGAATATTTCATGTTGGCACACTGGACCATCTGGAGATAGAAGAGATGGAAAAGATCAAGAAGAAAGCCAACAGCAGGGGTTTGAAATGATGATGAGAGTCAGAGCATGATGAATCGTGAAAAGAGCCAGGCGTTTAACAATGTCCTGGACCGATCATGGACTGTCCTGCTTCACCTTTCTCTAATTCAGGTACTGTCGATGACCAAAGACTGAGGAGAGCTTGGTTGAGGAATACACTTTTACAGAACCCCAAAGGAGAAGATTACTTCAGGTTCGAAATCGTTACTAAGAATTTTTGGGAAGAGGGAAGAGAGAAAGGCCGAGGGGAGGCAAGACAAATACAATCACGCATTGTCTTCCACCAGTTTCTTGCGTGGTGCAGTCTTTGCTTTCAACTTCACTGTCCCTTCAGTAAAGAGCAGCATACGCAGCGGTCATATCGAAACAGTCTGTCCTCCAAGGGAGAGAGAAGACAAGAGTCAAGAAGAACCTTGCTTTATACATAATAGAACCCCCCCCCCAAACCAGAGATTGCCGGCCGTTTACGGAAATCCCCTTGCTGGAGGCAGATTAGGTCCGTTCTGGGCGCCGAAATACACTGCCTCTATCCGTATGGTGGGGCCGCACCCCCACTCTCCTCCCCGAGCTCTGACCCCTGTCGCTCTCCCCCGAGCTCCCAGCCAGTCGGTGCGTTTGCTCCCACACGTGGCGCACGCGCTCCCCCACTGAAGCTTCAACGTCTTCACCTGTCTCACCTCGATGCGAGAGACGATACGATCAATCGTATGTCACATTTAGGGTTCCTGGCCAATCCCCCCCACGCCCTTACGATCCCTGGAGCTGCGTCGTCGTAGCTTCATTTCCTTCTCGCCGTACCGCGCCTGGCACGTGGGATACTTCACCGGCAAGGTTCTTGTACAGATACGAGTTGTCCGGTAGCCGCCCCTGCTCTGCCGAAAAGGAAACAAGCCTGTACACAAAGTATGGATGGCTTCCTCATTATTCTTTCCTAGAAGGCCGGTCGCTTGGTTGAAGTCGCTCGCCATCGTCGCCAGCGTTCTCGTCTTCGTCGATTTCGCCCTTCCGCACGTCATGGCCCCCAAAGGTCCCTCTCTGCTCGCCGCTCTCGCTATCCTCGGCAGCGGCAGCGGGCCGAGCGGCGGCGCTGCGAATGCCGCCACCACCGGCGTCGACGTGAGCTGGCACGCGCCTGCCAAGTCGGACGTCAACAACCTCGCGACCGTCATCAACGGCGAGGGCGTCTGGGGCTTCATCTACGATACCTCCGAGACCCCCGACGACAAGTATGGCCAGTACAACTGGTGCAACATGCCCCATGTGCGCAAGACGGAGTATGTGAAGCCATCGGACGAGTACGAGCTCAAATACGTCGAACTGGTACGTCTCGCCATTCTCGTGCCATATCGTTGAAACTCCGTGCGGCCGCTAAACCAACCTTGCAGGTCCATCGCCACCACAAGCGCACGCCTTACGCTTCCAACGCCTTCCCGGTGGAGTCGTACCAGTGGAACTGCGATGAGCAGGGCCTCTTCTACTACGGCGAGTCCTTCGCCAGCGGCAACAAGCCGGCAAAGACGTACTGGAAGCTCTACATCTCCCCCGTCAACCCCTTCGTCCCCGCGGGCTGGGTCGGCACCTGCCAGTTCCCCCAGATCACCGCCCAGGGCCTCGACGACTCGTGGCTTCACGGCGCCGACCTCTACGGCGTCTACCACGACCTGCTGGGCTTCCTCCCCTCCCGCGACGCTGTCAACTCCCCCAAGTGGCACCGCCAGGTCAAGTACCGCGTCACCAACAACCAGATCACCAGCCAGGTCGCCGGCATGGTCGTCAACGGCATGTGGGCGACCACTGACTCCCTCGTCCTCGGCATCCAGGCCGCTGGCGTCGACTCTCTCGAGCCGCAGTACGCTTGCCCGGCCGGCTCCTCCCTCTTCGACCGCATCAAGTCCTCGTCCAACGCCGCCTGGGCCCAGCATCTCGCCGCCGCCGGCCCGCTCTACGCGACGCTCGACGACATCTCGGGCGTCTCCGTAGACGACGCGGGCTTCCACGCCTCCCTGGACCACTACTACGACAACCTGTCCGCCCGGCAGTGTCACGACAAGCCCCTCCCCTGCAAGCTCGTCGACGGCGTCAACAGCACCACCTGCGTGACCCAAGACCTCGCTGACGCGGCGTACCGTTTGGGGCACTGGGAGTACTCTCAGATCTACCGCGATGCTCCCGACTCCCTCGCCGCCAGCGTCGCGACATGGGGTGTTTGGATCGCCGAGCTCGCCACGCACCTCCGCGCTGCTGTCAAGGGGGAGAGCGAGACCATCTACTACCACAACGTGGCCCACGACGGGTCCGTCTCGCGGTTGCTCTCGATCCTTCAGATCGATAACATGGTCTGGCCCGGCATGGGCTCTGAGGTCGTGTTCGAGCTCTACAAGCAGAAAGCAGCCGATGGCGAGGACCCACATGCCACTGCTGCTCCGACTGCCGCGGCCACACCCGCAACAGGCTCCGGTGTCGGTGTCGGTGCCGGTATTAGGGAGGGCGGCTGGTACGTGAGGGTCCTCTGGGGCGGCCAAGTCTTTAAGTCGTCTAGCCCGGCTTTGGCCCTTATGGACATGATCCCCGTCGAGACGCTGCTGGCGTACTTTGACGGGCTGGTGGGAGAGAATGCCAGCCTCGTCAAGGGCAAGTGCAGCGCCTGAGTGTGTGCTTATAATGATCTCATGACTGGAATGTACAAAAGAGTGATCTTTACAAAAGTATGTGTACATGTACCTCGTCGCTATAATTCATAATCCCCCCCCTCGCTTGCTCCTTGGTGCAGCGCAACTTCTGGAACCGATGATTTGCATGCCTCTTAAGCCAATCCGCAGTCCTTCTCGAAATCGCTCCAGCGCCCGTTGCGCATGGGGTCTAGTTGACGTACTTTGGCCAGCCACGTCTTGAGGTCGTCCGTCTCCTCGCCGTTGAGTGTGCGGCCTTCCACCTTCGGCAGGGCTCTCGTGTAGTCCAACAACGCTTTGTAGATCCACATGATGTCGTCATAGTCCTCCAAAAGGTCCTTGATGTCTTGGATTTCGCGCCTCACGTATTTGGCCTTTTGTTCCCGTAATAAGTTCGGCGCAATCTTGGAACGCCCGTCCGATTCGGTCATGTTCTGGATGAGGAAGTGGTGGTAGAACCAGAGCGACTGATCCTCCGGCCCCACATTGAGTGCTTCGCGGACGAGGTTGAGTTCTGGCCCCGTGTTAGTCCTGGCCCGATGCCGTCCAAATCCAAAAGAAAAGTAGTCATCTTACCGTCCTCCAAAAACTTCTGCCGCGCCCCGTCGTCGGCGCGGCGCTCCTCCAGTAGGCGCGGTATCAGGTTGGAGCGGCTGTGCCAGGCGGAAAAGTTGGACAGGTCGACGTTGATCATCTTGGTCGTGTACTCGAATTCTTGCTCAACGAGGCTGCTGCCGTCAAGCGCCGTGCTCTCCAGCGTGGCAACCACCCTCCGACGGTAGCCCCAGGCGTGGTAGTTGCGGCGGTCCTTGGTCAGCATCTTGGACACGAGGCCGAGCTCTTCTTCCCACACGCGGCGGGCCACGGGCTGCGGGAGGAGGTCGATGGCCTGCTGGAGGAGCCAGGAGCGGTATTTCCAGATCCAGTAGCTTTTGGGGTATTCGAGCAGGAGCGGGACGGTGAACATGAGCTCGTTCTTGAGGGTCCCGACGACTTCCTCGGTTGAAGGCCCCTTCCTCCCTTCCTCCCCCCCCGACGCCGTCGCGTCCTGGTGCCCGGCCGCGGCGGGGTCCCCGGCCTTAGCTGTTGTACCACTCCTCCCACTCGCTTGGTTTGCTGGGGACGCGGGGCCGGGCCGGGTCGTGGTCGAGGCCGAGGAGGAGGCCGACGCAGCGGTGGAGGACGGAGGCGTAGTGCATGCTGCTGAAGAACTCGCGGACGGCGCCGATGGCGATGGCCCAGGCAATGGTTTTGATAATGATCCACAGGTTAGGCAACGCCTGCGGACGTTCCATGCCGTGTAGTGTTCTGGGTTCAGGCGCAGGAGCTTGGTGGTTAGGGCGAGGGTGGCGGCGGGGTCGAGGGCGTCGGCGGTAGAGGGGTTCGCGGCGCGGAGCAGGGCGTCCTCGACGGAGCGCAGGGTTTCGATCTTGGCGAGGTCTGATTGCAGCTGGGCTTCGGTTCGTGGCTTCCTGGCTGTGCGGGCTATGCCGTGCTGTTTGTTGCGTCGTTTGTTAGCTTGGAACGCGGCGGGGGTTGGGGTAATATGTGTTGGAGATTGAGCCGCGAAGAGGTAAAGGTGCTGCGCAGAGATGATGAGACTGGCGAGGGTGGTGAGTACTTACGCTTTCCATGGGGACCTGAGGGATGCTCCTCTACGAGAGCGGGATGGTCTAGCTTTAAGAGGGAGGAGCAAGGAAGCCAACAAGGACGATTGGAGCGGGCGGATTGATTAGTGAGGATGGACCGGATGAAGGCACAGGGAGCTCTGGGCGGCATGAAGCAGCTGATGCGGGAACCGGTTCACATTGAAAGGAGCAGGGGGCTCCCCACCACCGATGTCCCCACTCTTGACCCTGTCCACTGGAACCCCAAGGAGATGGATGCCGTCTTAGCCAGTGGCCCAAGCTTCTGTTAGATCCGCGTTCACGCAATGTCGCGCCTCATCTTTTTCTTGTTCTTCCTTTTCTTTTTCTAGGACCTTACCATCAATGGTTTTCGACTTGATCCGTCAGTATGGGAAGCTTCTCAATGGCAGCTGCCCGAGACGCGGTGAT